AAAGGGGGAGCCATGCTGTCAGTGCCCCCGCCCCCCCCCCGCAGCTAAACGAATCGAAACATTCACCATGCATTTATTAACAGAGTACAAAGAGGATCCAGCTGTCAGACAACAACAATAACAACAACAACAACAACAACAATGCGACGTTCATTTTCAAAAGTTCCCGAGGGTTAACGTTTCCCTGTCAGCCAGCTAAATGCTAGCTCATGTTATTGCGTCCAGGTGGAGAAAACTTACCCCCCGCTTGTGAGAAACAACTTGGAGCTGCACAGAGGACTCTTAATGGTTATTATAAATGGTTAGGGTTCATCATTTGGTAAGAAGTGAGTCCGAGGAGGCCGAACTGTTACTACAACAGCGCTAGCAGGCTAGCCGCTTCCATGTGTGAGCCACAAACAGACGCCGCTTCCAGATGGTCGACTATGGTTTTACCCGGAGTTTTATTATTTACGACGAAATACAACGCGAAGCTCTTACACTTTTATTTCACTGTAGTCACACGATAACAAAAACAAAAACAATAAAAGCAATGTAGACACTAATAAAAATTTAATTTGTAGCTATTTTATTGTTTTTGTTTTTGTTTTTAGGCTGTGCATGTTGATGTTGTATAATGGACAACAAAGATTTATCCCGGAGTTGTGTCGCGTAAACAGCGTCACATCCTCTTCCTTTTGCAGTTTTTAGGGGCCTACAAGAAACGAAAAGAAGGTGCATGTAAGTGAGCGGCTTTGCTACGCTTTCAAAACTATGTACAGTGTGTCCGGAGCGGCTGCTGCTTCCCGACAAATGAGTGTAAAATAATGAGTTTTTCGTCGATACTACAAAATGTGAGGCTCAATGTGCAGCTGTCGGCTGCGTACCGTGCTAAGGGATCGTCTTAAAATATGTGCTAGGAAATAAACGTCGAGGTACGCAGGTAAGGTAGGGGTTCGCAAGAATTTGAAGAAAAGCAGTCTCTGCAGTGGAAATGTGACCATTCTGGGAAACTAGTGACAGAAATGGAAAAGTGTTAAGACTTTTTTATTTTAATAATAATCATCATATTTAAAGTGTCACTGAAACAAATGTAATTCAGCTACATTGTTTAAGAAGTGGGTGACTTTATCTGATGGGAGTGATATCAATCTCATCTAAATGTTGAACACTGCATTAAAAAAAAAGTTACATTTGCAGACATGCTTTGTTTGTCTTGTTTGCAATTTCAAATCAACTCTATATAAAGTATTTGCTTTATTGGCCAAGTATGTTTGGACATACAAGGAAGTGTTGACTGTGGTTTCCACTGGCTCTCAGTGTACTTTACATACAAATGTACAGGAATATCCAGCATCGAAAATTTTTAATTATGTGATAATAATCTTATTTTTTATTGTTTTGAGGCATAAAATATAGAGAAAAAATGGTGAAATTCATCACAATCTGTGTGGCGTAGTCTAATTTCTTGTTTCATGTGACCATCAGTTCAAATCCCAAATATTATTCAGATTTTTATCTCATTTGAGAAGCTGGAAGCAGCATTTTTTTTTTTTTGGCGTCATGTACAGGTAAGTAGCAGAAAAGTAGATGCATATAATTATGTATAAACAACAATATACAACCTTATTTTTCAGTGAAAGATAACAAACATTTAAAGTTTTGAACTGATGGTCAGAGAAAACAAGAAATTTAAAGATGTTGAATTTTTCACTATTTTTATAGATTTTTTTAATTTTAACGATTAATCAGTGATAAAAAGCATCATTAGTTGTCGCTGTAGTCTGTATACATTGTCAAACTATTACTGTAAACTGTGTATTCAAGGTAACAAAGAGTAAAGCGGTACAAGGGTTCTGGAGTAAATACTGTGTGGGTAATGTAATAAGTTACTTTATATTATGTATTATATAATGTCCCTGTGTGTCATGCAGCAGCAGAAGTAAAACCGAAGGGATGCCTGCAGCAGAGAGCAACCATGCCCAGCGTGTCCTGTCCTCCCTGAACCAGCAGAGGGCAGTAGGGAAGTTTTGTGATGCAGTGTTGAATGTGGGAGGTGGAGTGGTCTACCTGGCCCATCGCAACATCCTTGCCTGTTTCAGTGAACTGTTCCAACAGTCCAACATGCCCGCTGCAACATGCATGGAGTTCTGCCTTCAGGAGTGCCCCAACGATGGCCTGGAGCTGCTCCTGAACTATGTCTACACCGGAGAGCTGAAGTTGGATCCTGACAACCTGGACAAGGTGCAGCATGCAGCGGCCAGCCTGTGTGTACCAGAAGCTCTTGCGCTCTGTCAGCAGTTCAAGGAAACCTCCGAGGATCCTGTTCCTTTCAAGCGTAAAAGAGGAAGACCTAGAAAGTCTACATCAGATACAACTCCTTGTTCAGTCAAGGAAGAACATTTGCATACAATCGCAAAAGATGAGTCCAGCTTTGACACTGCCACAGCCAATGTTAGCACGGCTGCCGCCACCACCACCACCACCACCCGCTCCGGTCGTGTAGTGAAGGGCCCCAGGCGACTGGTGACTGATGGGAGCCCCATCACTGATCTTACAGCCTCTGAAAAATCCATCAAGAGGCCTCCACTTATTCCCACGGAGAGAGAAAGTGGGGATGTTGTGGAGAACCAAAGCTCAGATCAGCCAACTGGTGAACCTGAGGTAGAATACACAAACATATATTAGAAAAAGTATTATTACCGTGATTGCTACTGCATGTAACTGTGCAAATACTGATGAATATAGCAGTTATTATCACACCTGTCTTGTGCTGTTTGCAGGTAACAGAGCTGCAGATTGACGAAAATGATAATGGTGTTGGCCATGTAATAGGAGAAGTAGAAGAAGAAGATGATGATGTGGGGGATTTTGAAGGCATCACTGAAGACACAGATGAGGAGTACGTGCCCATTGCCGAGCCCAGTTCCATAGCCCCATCAACATCAACAGCACGGAAGCGCAAGGCCCTGTCTAAAACAGACAAAAACGAGAACGGCGAAGCCGTGGAAGAAGACTCAAAGAAAGACTCTGTGCAGTGTCCCATCTGTGGCAAATCCTTCAAGAGCAAATACTACCTCAAAGTCCACAACAGGTATTTGTCGTCGGTATTTTTCCTTCAAATTACCGTTGAAATTATAGCCACTAATATGTCTTTTTCATAGGCGGCATACAGGGGAGAGGCCCTTTGGTTGCCTTAAATGTGGAAAGAGGTACTTCAGGAAGGAGAATCTTTTGATACATGAGATCAGAGACTGTGCTAGAGTACCGGTGAGTAAGAAAACATTTGTCCAATTCAGTGAGCTGTTCAGGGAAGTTCCTAGAAAGTTTAACGCCAGTGTTTGTGCTGTGTTGCAGACGTACACCTGCCCGACATGCTCCTCAACATTTAATGGAAAAGAAGAGCTCCGTTTGCACATTGTCTCCCACACAGGAGATATGCCCCACAAGGTGAAGCCTGCACCTAATAAACACAGAACATAGCATATAATAAGTGATATCAAATCTGTCGTTAGCTCTTAAGAATATCTTTATTAACATGGCTATTTTTTTCCCAGTGTTCAACATGTCCTGAACAGTTTATTCACAAGAAAAGCTTGACAATTCACATGATGAAGGTCCATGGTTATCCCAAACCACATGCAGTGAGTTCTTTCAATGAGACTTTGACTTACTTCTGATGTACCGTCAGTAAAACTTCAGGGTTGAAATTGTCTTGTAGGTCTCACTCAGTTGCCCTTGTATTTTCATTAAAAGTCACTTTTGCATCCATTGTATAAGTCTGTAGTTTTGATTCCGTTTTTTTTACTTTTCAGTGTCCCCAGTGCCCCAAAACCTTCCTAACTCGGACAGAGCTACGAGTGCACGAAGCGGCCAAACATCGAGGCGAGAAGCCGTTTGTGTGTGAGGAGTGTGGCCATCGAGCATCTAGTCGAAACGGCCTGCAGATGCATATCAAAGCTATTCACAGGTAGTGGAACCCTTTTCTTTTTGTCTGCCACAGTACTGGTTTGATTAGACTACAGGGACCTAACAACTCTGCGAAATGTGCCTTTTAAATGATATTGGTAGCTGTAAATTTGGAAATAAGTATTCATAAAAACTGTGATAGCATGTGTGCAGATTGTTTGATGTTTTTTTTTGGTTCTGCTTTCACAGAAATGAACGGCCTTTTGTGTGTAACATATGTGGCCATGCATTCTCCCAGAAGAACAACCTAAACATGCATCTGCGTATACACAGTGGGGAGAGGCCATACCAATGCCATCTCTGTGGCAAAACCTTCAGGACGCAAGGTAACGGCTGTTCTTCCCGGTCTGCATCGCCATCACAGTCAGCAAAACTATGGTGAAAAGATTAGATACACAGAGGGAGAGATGTGAGGCAAAGATAACGTGTGAGCATACGTGTGCATACCTTCGTTTATTAACACGGTCAGCAGTTGGAGTTGTAGCAGTAGCTGTGACACTCATGAAGGCTCATCGCATATAAACGTCCATAAATCTGCAGAGAAATCATAGAAAAAAGAAGAAAGAAACAAGAAACAACAAGAAAGAAAAAAAGTTATAGGGAGCAACTCCAGAACTTGACTGAGAATCAGTAATCCAGTGATAGTTGTCGGTACTGCCGTGAATACATTGCAAACAAGATCTGCTAACAGCTAATTCAGCATCCTTTTTATGGTGCCAGTTTGCTGAAATGTAGAACAATATGGGCTCAAATTATGTGGCTCAATTATACTTTGTTTAGCCTTTAGCATTACCCTTTTTTTTCGTGTTTCAGTCAATATATTGACTCAGAATATTACAGAATTGGAAAGGTTGGCTTTGAAAACCCATTAATAGATTAATCCAAACACTGAGCAATCAGAGAGAAGTTCTTGAACACTAACGTTTTCTCTGTCAGTGCCACAGTGCTAACTTTAACTCGTGAAGATATCATTTTTTGTATTAATCACTCTCTTTTTAATACCAGCCAGTCTAGATAAACACAACCGGACACACACTGGCGAGCGTCCTTTTAGCTGTGATGTTTGCGAGCAGCGCTTCACAGAGAAAGGTGCCCTCGTCCGGCACAAGGCCAGCAAGCACGAGGAAGGCCGTCCCCACTGTTGTCACATATGTGGCAAAACGTTCAAAGGTAAAACACAATTAATTAACAATGAACACATTGTGTTTTGAGCCTTAATTAGCACGGAGTTAGGGACTCGCTAATGTGATTCCTCTTGTGGTTTTTGCCGTCATCAGCGAGGGAGCAACTTCGTGTTCATCTGCGTCGCCATAAGGGCATGAGGAAGTTCGAGTGTATAGACTGCGGCTACAAGTTCACCCGGCAGGTAGGCCCACTCGACATTGTCAGTTAATCTGCCTGTTGCTTTCTGGGTTCATGGATGAAAACACATTACACTCACCTAAAGCCCAAGGTGATCTCTTCAAATTGGTAACATTGGTAAGAGTACTCCGAGTTTTAAAAAAAACACATATTTTACATATTATAAGTCATTTCCCCCTGGGATTATTAAAGTATTTCTTATTCTGATTCTAAA